GCAGCAGGGCCGGCCTGGCGCCCGCTGCCCGGCTCGTCCCCTGCGGCCCCGGGAGGCAGCGGGGGTTTCCGCGCGCGGGGATCGTGCGGGAGCAGAGCGGGAAGAAGGGCCTGGTCACGGGTGCGGGCTGGGCGCAGTGGAAGTCCCTGCTTGCCCCGTGGTCACAGGCTGCCTGGGACACCGGGTGCATCCCGGGCCGCTGTTTGGTGGGAAAAGCAAAAAGAGAATCCGGACGGCTCTGATGTGCACAACACAAGCCCAGCTTTGCTCCGGAGGAGTGCTGCTGGCGCGGCTTTGCCGCTGCCTAACGCTGCCCCGACCTTAGTGAGGCCAACGTACGACCTCAGTGCGCTGGGGAAGGGGGCGGACGCCGGGGCTGCTTCGTGCCCGCCCGGTGGCTCTTTGCCTGTGTATCTGGTGTGGGGCAGCAGCTGAGCTTGCCCGGCCGGGCCTCCTCCTTGGGGAGAGCCTGAGAGCTGGCGCTTGGGCCGTCTCCTCCCTGGTGGGTTTGGTTAGTCGCTCCCGGGGAGCTCAGCGGCACCCGCGTCTCGGCACCGACCTGCAGCAACAGGCGTCATTGGGCTCTGTGTGCCCGGCTGGTGCTCGCTTCCAGCTTGCCGCCGGGTCGTATTGCCAGCAATTTTTCTGCTCAAGTACAAGATAGAGTGATAATCCTCTCCATTAGTCTTCTCCAGATTATTAGTGACTCTACATGTTTTTATAATACATGTTTTTCCTCTTTCCACCGCCGTCATCTCCCTTCCTTGCACTTTTGCTGTATGGAAACCCCTTTCTCCTCCTGCCGTTGCCTGCTGCCCGTGCTGCCGGCCCCGCGGCAGGGTGAAGAGCCGTGCGGGATGCAAGCACAGGTGCTTGCAGGGTGCAGTGCAAGTGGGTGCTGCCTCGTGTTCCTCTGCCCGCCCGCCAGCTCACTAGTTAAAAAGACAAACCACTATATTTTAATAAGGAGAGAGAGTGGTGGCTAATCTGGATGCTCACTTAGAGTCCAATGCATGGGGAACTCCAGATCTAGTTCTCTGTGCTTGCATTGCTGTGTTCTTATACTAGTTCGTCACTGCATGTCACTCTGCATTTACTGTCATTGCATTTCTCCTGCTGCAGGTAACTCAAGATCATGAGTGTTTGTTTGTTTTGCAAATCTTCAGTTTTCTCAGTGGTCTTGTGTCATCAGTGAATYGTGCCGCTGTGCATAACCCTTTTTATAGTTACTTACAGTGTGTCAAGGAGCAAAAAAATAGCCCATCCCTTTGAGGTTCTGCTTGTAAGATGGTGCTTATAAGTTCAGCCTTCCTAGGAGGGTAATATGTACCAGAATCTAGATAGCAAAAGTTCTTTGAAAACAGCCGTTAAAGGCTGTTTAAAGGCCTGGTGCATTCCAATTGTATCCAGTAAATAAGAATGCCTCAAAGTGAAACAAGCTTTGTTTCCATTTATAGTCCTAAATTTCTCTTTGTTTAAGGAACAGGTATTGTCACCTGTTTTTGGAAATCTGCACTGTCTTTAGATATTTTTAAGCTGAATTCTTAAGAGTTAAAATGCTGTCCAGTTCCTTGGTTATATAAAGTTTGACAGGACACAGCCATTGTCTAGTTTTATTTGTAACTTCCTGAAATTCTTTTCTGTTCATAGCTCTGTTCTTAAGACATTTCAGCCATGACTAAGAGGGATGCCGAGGAGCTGATAGAAATAGAAATTGATGGAACTGAGAAACAAGAATGCACCGAAGAAAGGTATGTACTGTCTTTGTTTTGAGGGTCTTTATATTGTAACTGTTTTCCAAATTGGTTTSGAATTTATGGCTGCACCGTAAAGGAATAAGTAAAAGTGTTTTATAGGTAGGCAAAAAATAACTCTATATTAGCAGAAGGTTGCTGGGTCAGTATGTTGTCCACACTCCCCCTGTTAATTTTATCTGGCAAGAAAGCTGAAAAAATGTGGAAACAACATTCTCAGTTCTGTGGGCTCTCTTCCACACTTCTTCCTTATCTAATTAAGTGATGATTGCCTTAAAGTAGGAATCTAGCCAGTATAGGGCAATATAGGACATTGCTGCCTTCTTAATTGCTGAATCCCTAACCACTTGATTTGTTACATTCTTGATAGCTGTCCCTCTCCTACCTTTAATTTCTGTAGGAATGTGTCTGCATATACTTGCTGGGACCTTACAGCTCTATCATGTTCTTCTGTGAGTGAAATGAACTTTTCAGTTTTTCCAGTCAGTTGCTTTATTCTTACCTATCCAACATCATTTTTTTTCAGTACAGTAGAAATGATATTCTCTCTATGTGAGAGCTTATTAGCTCMATTGAAACTATGGACACCAAAGTCTGATGTTCTCTGCCTTTTTCACCTCTACTATTTTTTTTCTTCCTAATGGTTTATTCCTAAATCTCACACTACTCTTGATAGCTCAGAGAGGCAGTTACTGCATTGAGAAGAGATTGCTGAGGCTGTAGATGACCAATTCTTTGAGAATTTGTTTTGTAAACTCATTCTGAGCTGTTTCAAGTTTCTCTGTGTTCTGAACTCCTTATATATTTTTAAATCTTACTAAGTGACTTTCTAATTTCTATCTGGGTGAACTGAAAGGCCAACTCTCGTGACTGGTGTTGGGATGTGAATCCCATAAAATATGGAGGTTTCTGAATGCCCGTGCCACTGCTGTAGTCATTTTAATGCATGACAGACCCAGCACGCTGTTGATGTTTTTGCAAGAATACAAGTTGCTGTGGTTCCATCTTATTGTCACTTGCACGTGTAAGTTTGTGCTGGTTRAAAGATGTAGATGATTATTCTGCAGTTATTTTCTGCGTTCTGATTTTTTCCCCCCTCTGTTGCCTACTCTGCGGTGATCATTTATCAGTCAGTCACTAACTTAGTAGGTGACTGGTTTCATTACTTGAAAAATCTCCCTGCTTCATTTGCATCAAGGCTTTGCTGTGTATCTCTTGCTTTGTATACCACATCTTTTAATGATTACTCCCTGTTAATTCCCAAGTGTGACTTCTCCTGAAGCCCATTTACCCTCCATCAAAACAAGTTAATATCTTGCAAGAATTTGAAATGTGAAAGTGAAGAGCAGTTTAAGCCTTTTCTTTTGGCATGGAGACAAACGACATCACTCCTGCCTTTTGACTCTACTTCTCCATCGTTTCAGTCTCTCTCAGCTTTTAGATTTTTGTCTTTGAACTTTGTTGAGCCAAACTTCTCTGTTCGTTCCTTTTCTTTTTATTCAGGTCTTAATTTATCCCACYGCTTTCTCGAGAGGTTCTGCTTTCAGCAATGTCTTCCACACCCCCACAAGTCTTTCTTTCCAGCTGTCACGGAAACTCCCCATTCAAATGTTCTACCACTTTTCTACGTAAAGTTTTCTATTTTTAATATAAAAAGAAAGTTATCTCACGCAGTACATTACTTCTTTTACTGAGGACTTCACTAGTGCCAACAGTGCTTAAGTTTATTTAATCACTTAATGAAAATATTACGTAGCACTTAAAGACTTCTAAAAGCCCAATTGAGACCTCAATCCTGAAATCTCCAGTTTTCAAGTAATCTTGTATGTTCCTGGTGATTATTTGTACTCTTAGTGATCTCTCTGTCTCGCGTACTGCAGTCCCAGAAGCTGATCTTAAAGGCAAACTGCAGAGCTGAGTAATGATTATTTGCAGTGTTTAGCCTAACTACAGAGACCTCAGGAGGGAAGGAGGAGAAAGGTGTATTCAGCAGGTTACAGTGTGTGGATATGTTCACCTTGGAGAATTCAGTGTTTTCAAATCTGTCCCAAGCTTTCAGCTTAGGCATTTAGTGAATCGCTTAGTTGTGTTCTTCAGTCACCCATTAGAAAGCCAGTCTGTGCCTGTTCAGTGGCGGAAGAGAAGGCGGCAGCTGAGGGTGTAAATCATGCAAATTTAACATGTTAGCCAAAATCCTAACAGATAAGCTGTGGAGGGAMCTAATAAGAGTAAGTAATTGGGAATCATGATGCTGAAGTTACACTGAGYGAGTGCAGCATTTTACCTAGTGGTAGAAATACTGAATTCATCTGGAGCTCTGAATGTCACTAAGTAATCTGGAAAATGCTTGGATATATTTAGTAAAAAGCACGTCTTAACAATATACAGTTGTGTTCTAGGAAGAGATACTAACATTTTAGAGTAAATAGAAAACATAACTGATGTATATGATGTCACATGGATCAAAGACACAGCTTTTTTCATTTTTTACAGCTTCTCTAATTTGTAAACCAAATTCTGATAGCTCTATTGAATCTTTATAATGAGTCATTAAATCATTTCTAGATTAGGCAAGATTGTAAATACTAGGACATTTGAGTAAGTAATTAATGAAAGCTTATTACAGTGAGATACAGAGTTTTAAGTGATACTGGAGTGTTTGAAGAGATTCCTGTCTGTACATCCTTGTAATATGCAGGGGGGGACTTTGAATGAAACTGGAAAACTTTAACACCTGTCTTACCCAACATAACTGTCACGTTACATAGAGATTTAGTTAGTATGTATAAGCACCTATGTGAGTATGTATAAGGAACTGCTGATGCTGCTTACTGATGTAACTGATTAATAAAATGTACTTGATTTGAGCTCAGCTGTGTGCATCGCATGAAGCAGTGYACTTGGATGCCCAAATAAGTTCAGTGGAGGGGGAATTCAGTTGCCTTTAAGCAAAGCAGTGACCGGTGTCAGTGCTGTCTGCTCATGATCTGTTGTGTTCCTTTGCTGTTTAAGCATTGTTGAGCAAACCTACACCACAGCAGAGTTTGTGAGTCAAGCTATYGACATCAATGAGCCAATTGGAAATCTTAAGAAGTTGCTGGAACCCAGACTGCAATGTTCCCTGGATGCACATGAAATCTGTCTACAAGATATCCAGGTAAATTGAATGACTGTGGACAAATATTTTCAAGGATTTATTTTAAGAAACATTTTACAAATCTAGTCTCTTTCTTCCATTSATGTAATCCTTTCTTCACATGGTATGTAAGTTACAGTTAATTAAGASTATAATTCTATCAGCTTTATTATCTTCTAACTGTTTAATATGTATATACTAATTCAGTACAGTTAAAACCYGAAGGCTTCATGGATCTTGTGAGATCAGAGGGGTTCATGGGAGATGTGGAGGGAGAACCAAAACAC